ACCCCGCACAAGATGATCTACTCGACCACCATTATGGTTACCGCCAAAAAGAAACGGAGGAAAAAAAATGAGAACGGTAACCTGGTTGCCGAGTTCACGAAGTGAATTTGGCTTGTTCTGCAACGTCGTTGCCAAGCGACGAAAACCCAATCCCGATGGCAAACACCGGGGGGGGCGGCTTGTTTTACAACGTCGTTGCCAAGCGACGAAAACCCAACCCCGATGGCGAACACCGGGGGGGTGCCGGTGGCATGCGGGGGGGAACGATTCCGTGGATTGCAATTGCATCTTGTCTGCCACGTCTTCTCGCATCCCACCCCAGTCATCGTTTTCTCGCCCCCGTGGACACGCCGCACATCAAAAGAGACGGCCACAAGAAGCCGGCAGCCGCGGCCTGCAATTCCGGCAAGGAGTCGGCGGCGGACAGTGTCGTCAACGAGGTTTATCAGGGCTTCGTGGTCACATAGAAGGGCGCCTTGTGCTGGAAGGATTTTTATGTAGCTTCAAGAGGCCAGCGACGTGGTCCTCGAAACGAGTTTGACTTCTCCGGAGAGCATGCATGGTGTTGCCGTTGCTCCTGAGGTCTGTGCTTGGCTGTAGCGGAGCCCCTCCGCCTGTCTTCACGCGTTTAGGTATGGGATACGCTCTGGGCTTTAGGTACCACGGTGTCGGGACATTTTTTTTTGTTTCCCTGTTGCCGACGCTCCAAGCTATTGAAACATGAAGACGATGCCTCCCTTTAATACTGGCGGCTCGATGCACGCATTGTTTCTGGCCTCCTGAAACCATGCAAACGAAAGGCCAGGTGTTGCGACTCTTGGGGCACGGCACACCTACGTGTTGCTCCGGCCGCTACCAACCGTGCACATCACCTGTGCCCCGCCGCCCCTCGTCTCCGCGCCTTGCCGACGTTCACGACACAAGGGCGTGTGGTTCGCCGGTGGTGGACGGTCGCGCGTTCACACGTACTGCTGAGCCGTGTTCCTGTGTCGCCCACCAGCAAACATTGACCTCCCCCATCTGAACCAAAGCCCCGCCCGTCTGTCCCTCGCGCCGCTCCTGGCCTATCCTCCACGGTGCCCTGGCCCGCAGGCCTGCGGGGCCGAGAGCACGGCCGAACCAGAGGAGGAGAGGCGTTGTCTCACCCGCTATCTGCTGAAGGTTGGTGGGCGAAAACGCCAACGACCCATGCTCGACTCACCACAGCCCTCCCCGCACGTGCGGCAGAACGACGTATCCTCTGCCCTGTCCTCGCTGCCCGACCGCGTACCACGGGGATCTCTGTGCAACGCGTGAGGCCGCGCCGTCTCCCGACGCTCTGTGATCCTCGCGCGCACGAAACCGGCAGAGTATCACCTCCCACGTCGAGGAACTGGCATGCCACTCTAGCCGACGTGCTTCGTCGGAGTCTCGCTCTCTGCCGCCGTCTACAGTGCGCGAGGAGGAGGGTGTGGACGAAGAGCTGTCCGACAGAGGCGGGGCGCGCGCTCATGCTGCTGCCAGCTTTCAAGCCACAGGTACGCAAAGGTGCCGGTCACGTCGTACTGTAGGGACTGCACAGCCAAGGGCGACCTTTACGCTTCGAACCCCACTCGCCCCTCTCCATGTTGCAAAAGCCGCGCTGACCCGTCTGGGTTCTACACGCACCCACACGCATGCGCGCACAAGAAGACAGGCACACAAACGGACGATGCGTCGAGTTCCACAACTAACGGTGTCCCTCGGCACCCAAGGATGAACGCATCATGGGATGGTGGGAACCTATAGTACCACCTGTCCCAGTAGACCAAGGCGCGGGTCGCGGGTGAAACGGACGGTCTCGAGCGATAGTGCTGCTGCCCCGCACACCCGAAAGCGTGCACAAAAGCTGTACGATAACGGCCATATCACGATGAAGACATGTGCGGGCTGTGTCGGTGGGCCTAGAATGACCGAAAACCAAAGAATTGCGTTGCTCGTGTGCTCTGAAGCCGACGGGTGTGGCCGTGGCGACGCCAGGCGTGAGGGCCTGCCGCTATGATGTCCTGCCCTCCCCCGGTGCTGTTTCCACAGGGAAAGGGAGCGTTGACGGGAAAGCAGCAGGGAAACGCAAGGTCGACCCGGACGAGCAAAGGGGAATACCTCGAGCGTCTGCGGTAGGGGCGTGCGGAGGCTCGGCTGGCGCGGACGGAGAGGCGGGTCAACCGGGTTGCCTCCGCCGACCCTTCTGACCCTTCTCGTGGTAAGACGAAGATGCTGCTGACCTTCACTAGGGGGGAAGACCCCAGGTGTGTCTGGTCGCTGGCGTCTTGGAAGCCTCCTTTCGGTTCTTTTCGTGACACCCCCTGTGGATACCGCCAGCAGTGCTCGGAACCGTGTGATCAAGGGACGGTAGGGAGTGCACAGCAGGCGTGCCCCGAATGAACCAAGCAAAGAAACGTGTTCTGCCACAAGCACACAAACGCGACCCTTGTCGCATGCAACACCAGCAACCCTTCACTCGACCACTGCACGGTGTATTACCCCGAAGGCGGGAACGAAGAGGCTAGCTTCTTCGCCCATCCCTTCGGCAGCAGCACCTTTGCCAAGCAGCTGCTGCAGGAAAAGGACCAAGCATGACTCCTCGAGGACCCTCCGCGGAGAGTCCAGGCGGTTGGCCCTGGTGGATTTCACGTTTGTCCACGCGAAAAACGGAGTATTCTGCGGTAGTGAGGACGGGGGCGTCCGGTTGCTTCCTGCCGCTGTGATTCTACCGCTCATTCTACCGACCGCCCCATTGTGCCTACGAAAGACCCGCGAAAAAGTTTCAGAGGAAGCAGTGGGTTCGACGGCGAGGCCGTGACAAGCGGAGGTCAACGCGCGGGTGTCACCTACCTGGCCGTGCGTCTTGTTATCGATGGAACGATCCCGTGGGATGCCCTCCCTCGGAAACCGCGACGATGCTGTCTACTCGGCAATTCGCCCGCTCCATTTTCATCTGGCGCGCGTCGCTTCCTGTGGTCGCTGCGTTCCGTCCTTGTACGCTACATACACAAACTTCCGGCGACACCCCTCAATCCGCTCACTCCCTGTCGACGGTTGACACGCTGTACAGCTGGTTGGGTCCTTGGCATCTGTCGAGTCGTTGCGGCCTCTCCTGCAGCCAGTTCAAAGCAAAGGCCCGGACCGAAGCGCTATCACCCTGCTCGAGCAGCTCCTGCACGGTGGCCAAGAGGTATCGTTTGGGGCTAACATGTGCCAGGGCTTGTAATGCTCCCGTCTGCACCACCGTGAACCAACCCTCGTCGAAGGAACTGTGGCTTGCTGTTCGCCTGCAAATTTGTGCCAAGTCGGTTGCGGCGCGCTAGGACCCCGCGACATGAAATTTGGCCGAAAAAGATGGGCCCGAAGCCCCTCATCGTCCTGTTCTCCCGCCCTTGGAACGGGTGAACCCAACGAGCCCCCACGCTGTTCCACCCTCGATAAAACGATCGCGTAGGTGAACCCATCCATCGCGGGGCAAGACAACCCTAGGGACGGGAAATTGGAACCGCCCAGCGCCGGCATGCGAAGCACCCGCGGCACCGCCATGAAGCTGCTGCAGGTGATTTTTTGCTGTTCCTTGTTCGTTTTTGTTGTTTTCGTTGTTTTCACCTGTGCGTATCCCCGTCGCGTTCTGATGAGGCTCCTGCGAGAGGCATGCGTCACTCGTACAAATGCATACCGCTCGACGAGGAAAGTGGCTTTCCTCTTTGAAGCGGTTGCCCCACAATATCAGTCAGAACGCTCCCCAAGTACAGTCTCCCACGCCTTCGTCTCGCCCAGGAGGCGGTCACCCGCGTACACGACGCGCATTTCCGCGCATCTAGCGAAGCTACCGCCGCTCCCGGTGGGTCCTACCCAGCCCTAACAGGCCGGGCTGAATGAGTCGACAGAACGGTCTATCTCGGCAACCTTTCGTGGTCCACCACGCCGGGGCCGGTCTGCTTGCAAGGACGCAAGTCTTTTTCACCGCCGGCGGCTTCCCGGAAGGACTCGGGTGAGATCTCGATGTCGCAATTCGGTGTTGGTCTCAAGAGCTTTGCAAGGTGGAGTGACGCGCTTGGTCGGCAACGTGAAAAGACGCGGCACGATGTGGTCTCTTCGGCACTGCTGGGAGATGCTCCTTCCCGCCAGCAATACGCGTCTCCATTCGCACACACGCACCCCTCGGTTGGCGTGGCATGTGCATTCCGTCCGCCCACCCGCGCACACGAAGCTTCATTCGTTCCCGGTCTGCGTCACCCTTTGACCCTCCCGCCCCGTGTTTACACGTGTGCTCACCTTGGACCCGCGCCACAACGAACGAAATGCTCCTCAAGTTCCCCTGTGCTCGACGCCGAGGAGGGGGCTCACCGCGCCATGCGGATGAACGGCGGGAGGCTGCGTGACCGCGACATCGTAGTTGCGCGGGGCCGCCAGGAGGTGGAAGGCACCAGGGGGTGCGCAGGTACGAAACCGACTGGTTGCATCATCGTTCGTGCGACATCTCGAGTCGGGTGCATGTTGGTGCCCGCGAGCCGGCCTCGCGGCAAGGTTTGGGCTTGATCGGTCTGCTGTCAATTAACGTTTCGGACACACACTCGTTTTGTGCAGTGGGGGTCCCCAAAATTTGAAAAGATCGGCCTTGGCACGGGGAGCGCGCCCAACCGAAGGACCACGTGTTATGCCATGCCGCCATTCGTGTTTCAGTTTCAACATCAGTGACGAGGCTCGACGGTCCCTCCGCGAGAGACGCGTGTCATTGTATTCCTTTCGTCGACACCGAAGTTCTGCTCTCGTTCATTGAATCATGTGCCGGTTCAATCGGCGTATACGCCACGTACGTTGCGAACCTCGGCGATCGGATCGCGCGTACAGTTCTGGTGGGCGCTCGGGGGGTGTTGGTGGCTGCCTTCGTCGAACCATTCGAGCAGTGCCACACGGACCACCGGCCTCAAGAACAGGTCGAGGACATCGACGCCGCCGGCTTTGCAACTGGGCTGTTTGTTGCAAGGTGGAGCGGGGTTTGCACTTTTGTGCGGAGTTCGTTGCCGGTTTCGAAATGGTTGAGGTCGGCCGGAGCAGCTCTGTCGGCGGGGGATTGTCGCGTCCGACGTTTCATGATTCGTAGCGAGTAGGTGCGTCGTGCCCACGGCAGCGCGCATGTGCCTTAGCAGGGGCAAGCCGTGGTCCTCTTGGTTCTGTGTGCCACGGTCCGGTTGAGCAGGTTCCACACGTGTTGGCGGAGATTGTGGCAATCAGCGCGCGCTGCCTCCACCCTCTTCCGCTCTCCTGATCTTGTTTTCTACAGGTTCCCCAGCTTGGCCGTCATCCGCGAAGCGGAGCAGCTGGGTTTGAACGTGCGAGGGCGGCCGATCCAGGTTCGTTCGAACGGGATGCAAGGAGAGTGTTGGTAGAGGGAGACGGGGCCGTGCGTGGCGCAAGCCCACAACAGGCCATGGGTAGTTGAGCACCGTCAGCGGGTCACGGCACGCCATGTTCTCATCACCTCTGTGCATGGACCAACACCGCCCCGCTGCACATTCGCGGGGAACAAACGAAATCGCGCCCCCAGCAGCTTGCGGTGCGCGTAGCGCCGCTTTCGCCGTTTTCCGACGGTTGACCTCTCTCTTGTTCTACAATCTGCCTTTGCGCCGATCAGTTGCAGCCGTTCGAAGGGAGGACACCCCGCGGAGACGGTGGCGGTGGTGGCAGCGTAGCTGGCGGCGGCGGCTCTTTGGTCGGCGATGGCTTTGGCGGGGACGGGAATGAACCCGTCGGCGCCGAAGGCGCTGGCAACCGTCGGACGCGCACCGTGCTTGTCCGCGGGCTGAGTTTTACCACGACAGACGTTCAGCTGCGGGGGTTCCTCTAGGTGAACGAGTAAGGGGTCCGACTGGCTCCGCACAAAAGAGAGCAGCTACGGTAGGCACTTTGAAACGCGGTCGCGTACCGCCCATACATTCGAGGGTGGTCGGCTTTGGAACGGGTCGTTTCTCTCCCTGCTGCTCGTGCTCGTGCTGTCCGTGGTTTCCCGGCAACTGTCTTCGGGACTACCTAGGGCCCGGGTCGACGCTTTTGAAGACCTCCCCCGCCGCCCTTCCCCCCTTCGTGATTGCGCTTCCTTGGGGGCCCCGCCCCTCCTCCAACGAATGTGCACGGTCCAGGGCCACGGGCAGGGCGACGGGTTCGCCAATGTGAGGGTGCCGCAGAAGCGGGGCGGGTGACGGACAAAGGGCAAAGGGTGAGCAAACTTCGACACCTCGCGTCGAGTGCTGTTCGGGTTGTGTGTGATACCATCGGCACCGTGCACCAGGTAGAGCGCCCTTTGGTCCGCGGCGCGTGCGTGTTTACGATAGAAGACAGTGGCAATGCGCTGTGCTGCGCTACCACGTTCTTTTTGATTCGTCCCGAATAACGGTGCTCGTGGTGAAGGGCTAACCGGCTAACCGCGCTGTTTGTACGCGCTGCCATACCCGGTGATCGATCCCCCCCCCCCC